ACGGCTGTTCCGATCGTCATTGAACTGGTGGCGTGCTCGAGCAAATCTTGCAGCGGCAAGGATGGGATGCTCGCGGCGGCCGTGTTTGACAATGCTGCAAAGGCTGCACTTGCGCCTGGGGGCACAGGCGCGGTGTCGTCCTCCAGCATGAGCATCACATCGCTTCCGGGACCGTCGCGCGCAACCGAGACGGCTCGCAAGCGCACGTTGGCTCCCATCGCCTGCAACTCGCGCAGTCGTGCTTGGATTTCTGGGTATGGAAGTGCGGCAGGCGTGGCTGAGGCGGAGGCAGAGCTGCCAGAGCTTGAATGGCGCTTGGCTTGGTCGACACCCAAGCCCCGGTTGGACGGCCGTGCGTGCTTCCCAGCTGCATCCCCGCTGCCGCCACTGCCTGCGTTGGACAGTCCGCGTGCGGCACTCACACCAGCGCCCAGACCCCCCGCGCTGCCCGTGACGGGTGGCTTGGACGACGCGTTGTGCGGCTTGACCAACACGGCGTCCTTGCAGTCCGTGTAGCCGAGCCGGATGCATCGGGTGCAGGGTCGCTCCATGGAGCACGCCTTGTGCCCGTCTCTGCATCGCGAGCACGAGATGGCAACGTTCTTGCGCCTCGGGCGGCGCTGCTGCTGGTTTGGGTCGTCTTCCTCGGGCGAATCGTGCAGCAGTTGCAGGTGATCAGCAGCAGCAGAACCATTGCCCATTGACGACGAGAAGCGCTCTGCGTCGTCCACCGCCGCCGCGCCCCGTGCCATTGCCGGCGCAACCAACGCAGCAGCCGAGACGCTTGACATGCTTGACGACTCGACGGTTGAGGGGGGGTGTTTGTTTTGCTGGATGGAACGAAAGGCTGGGTTAAGACCAAAGGAATAGTGCTCGTTCTCTTCTTTTGTCTGTTTTGATCCAAACGAGTGATGACGCGTGCAGTTCAAGGTCAAGTCATTTCAAGGTCAAGTCATTTCAAGGTCAGGGTCAGGGTCAGGGTTGGTTTCGGGTCGGGTCGGTGCCGCGCTCTCGGCTTCTTTCACGCGTCGACCAAAAGGCAAAAAGGCGACAAAATTTGCACACACAAAAAGCGCGTTAAAAATGTTGGGGGTGACTTACTGTTGAGTGTTGAGGATGAAGACGTCAACCCCTCCGCTTTGCTGGCTACTGGACCCCGTGGATGATATACACACGCACACGCACACGCACAGAAGCAGCAGGCACACGGCACACGGCACAGGGAGCAGCGAGTTCCAAAAAAAAAAAAAAAAGAGGCAAAAAAAAAGCGGGAAAAAAAAAAAAGCGGCTGCGCACGGGTCAGTCTGATGACGAAGCAGGAAGCAGGAAGCAGGGGAGGGGATGATGACTGCACTCTGATGACTGATGACTGATGATGACCTCTACGCTGAATGATTGGCGATGAATTTGCTGATGATGCTGCGTTTGAAAACCGAAACAATGGAGAACAGAAACGAAAAAAAAAAAAAAAAAAAAAAAACTGAAAAGAAAGAACGGCGAAAAAAAAAAATGAAACGTGATTTTTGTGGAGTTTCAAACAAAACTAATGGAAAATAAAAAATCAATTGTTTGATCGTGATTTTGATTGTTTGTTGTTTGTTGTTTGTTGTTTGTTGTTGGCTGAAAATCACATGTAAAATGTCAAATGTCAAAAGCGTTCAACATGTGAAAATGTGCTGACAATTCAACTCTCAATACATTCAACGTTCTTCACCTGCAATCCAAATTGTCAAACAACTCTCGCTCCTCTCGTGCCTCTCGCTCCTCACTTCGACCAAACTGTCCATCATTCATGCTCATCTACAGTATGATCAAAACACTGCTTGTTGCTGCTGTCCGCTTTTTCGTCAAACTCCACTCACTCTTTCTTTTTCTATTCGCTTTTCGCCTGGATGCTGAATCCAACCAGCGGACATGCATGGACGCACGCGCGAGACGCCTTCCGCTCGCTGCTCGCACTGCACCCGCTCGAATTGCCACACGATGCTCGGCTCGGACTGCAGCGCTTTCTAGCACTCGATCAAGCATCATCATCCACGCTGACGGCGATCAGCGAGCTCGAAACCGCGCTGAAACACATTGCCGCTCACTCTGCTCCTCATGGTGCGAATGCGAGTGCGGTTGCGCTGGCGACGGCGTTGATGCTGCTGCCAAGCTGCACAGCCAGCAGCACAGCCGGCACGGTCGACCCAGAGCGCGTCGGGTGGATGCGAACAGCCGCAGAGTCGCACATGTTGCGCCCACTGCTCTCATCCCAAGCCAAACCACCTGTGTCATCGTCGTCATCATCATCATCATCATCATCGAACATCAGTCAGGATGCCATCGCAAGCACTCAGGCTGCTGCGACTGCAATCACACAGAAGACCGGCGCCAAGAATGCCGCCAAACCACCCAAACCAGCGGCTGCTGGGGCATCTCCCGAGCTGGCTCGAGCATTCCTCGAAACTGCATTGAGCGTTATTGAAAACCATCTGGCACACGACTCAAGCACCTTGTGCTCGCACACTCTGGAGACGCTCAGCTTGTGGTCGTCGCTGGTGGATCGCCACGCATCGACCATCGCCGCTGCCTGCACAGTGAGCAGTGGCGTACCGGCATTGTACACTCGCATTTTAGCCACGTCTGCCGCGACGCTGCGGTACCTCTTGGAGGGTTTGAAATCGGCGAGTCTGCGAATCCGAGAGTTGCTGCAGTCGAGTCTCAACCACCACCACCACCAGCAGCCTGAAGCCGCTCGCACACCAGTGGCCAACCTCAAGCACCTCAGCGAAGCCTTGCATTCGTCACTCAAGACGACATTGCAGCTGATTGCTCTTGGTGGTGGCGCATTCCGCAACGCTGCGCCGCTCGCCAGTCTCGAAGAGCTTGCCCGCGCGCTTTTGCTGCTTGTCGCATCGCCGCTCATAACACGCGAGCCCCAGCAGTTTGCCCTGACTGCATGGCTGCATTTGCTGAGCTCAGCCCAAAACCCCGATCGTGCCGACCATGGTGACCAGACAGCGATCTGGGTGCGGACATTCTCTTCCCTGCTCGCGCCCTGGGCGGATCAGCCACTCACCGACCCATCTCCAACCACCCCCGAAGCCGCTCTGGCGACCCCTTTCACTGCCCCTTGCTTTGAGGCTCACTGTTCGCCGTCGTCTCCTGCGGCAGCCATCACACTTGTGCGGGCATTGCTGGTGGCCTGCCCCTCGCGCATCCTGCTCGCCAGGGCAGTCCCGCAACAAGCCAATTGCCTCATTGTTCAAATTCTCCAGGTCATTTCGTGCTGCCTGACGCTCGGCTCGAGTGCCACCGCTGCCGTTCGCCACAGTGCCCTCCAAACCTTCCGCCTCTGGATTGAAACGCTCGTCGGCCTCTTCTCGGAAGCCGATCAGCGGGCGCCTTCTTTGGACCGCAGCGAGCACGTCCCTGTTGAACATGCGTCCTTGGCGTCCTTGGCGGCGAGCCTTCTCGAGGAGCAACGTGCAGCGCTTGTCACACGTGCCTTGTGGTCGCTTCCAGACTCTGTCACCTCTGATGCGGCTCAAGCCCTTCGTGCATACTTTTCCCTGATACCGCGTCTCACGCGCTTTGCTGGATGGCCAGTGGAGCATTCGTGGCGACAAATCCCTGCATTTTCGCTCTGCTTTACTCGGATTTGCCAAGCACCCACACTGTCTCGCCATCGCTATGCATTCCTGGCGGCGTTGGCGCCCTACATTGTCGTTCATGAGCTCTTGTCGGCGGTACCCAGCTTTCCATGGCAGCTCGTTTGTGCCCTGGCCTACGAACATTGCTGGTCGGTCGTCACGGATGCATACTCTGCTCTCTTGACATCCACACGCGCGGCTGCCTTGCTCACTGCGGACATTGGAGGACTGTCAAACCACTGGGCCGATGTATGGCTGCCCGCGTTTGCCGCTGGCTTGAATCTGCACCGGCGAGCCGATATTTCGCAGCACATTGCCACGGTTTGGGTCCCCGTCACGCTTCTGGCGATGCCGGAGGCGCTCGAGCCCCTCTGCCTGCACTTGCTTTCCGCGCATCAATCAACGCTCAGTAACCTGTCGGTGACTGTTCGCAGCCCCAGCCCAACGTCGCTCGCCAGCTCGCTCGCAGCCCTAAACCACGATGCCGTGCTCGATCTGGATCTGCTTCCTGCATGGAATGGAACGTCCTCTGACATGCAAGGCATGGATTTGGCCGCAGCTTCCTCACTGGCACAGTCAGCCAAGCCCGACTTTGCGCCTGCGCCCCTGGAAAGCCATCAGCAGCGAGCCGCTCGCGTGATTATGCTTGCGCTGCTCACTTGCGCCTCTTCCCTTCGCGCCAGCAAGATTTTGTGCTTGGCCGACTTTCCGGGCCTGTCTCATTCGCCAGCTGCTGCGACTACGACCACTTCTTTGGCCGGCAACTCCATCCTATCTCAGACTCTTGCCCAGCGTGTGGCGAGCCTGTTCACGCTTGATTTTATTGCCAGTGCTGCCACAAGTGGTGATCCTCTGGTGCAGGCCGCAACACTGACCTTTCTCGCTCCCGTGAAGGCGACCGAACCCTTGACCGTCCCTCTCCTGCAACTTTTCAGCACCGCCATGCACGCGTGTCTGAACACGTCCTTCCCGCCGCTGCGCTTTGCCCTCATTGGCAGTGCCCGTCGCATCTTCACCCTGGTTCGCGCGGCTGCGACCATCACCTTGCGAACCGTCACACACGAGTGGGGGGTCTTGAACAAGAAACAGGCAAACGTGTCGCTGGAAAGTATCCTGGAGCGACACCAGTCGCAGGTCGAAATGTTGCGCGCCGGAAATGCATTTTTCGCGGAAACCCTTGACGTCTTGCTTGAAGGAATTGTTCCTGGATCCACCTTCCAGCGAACCACCATTGCTCTTTCGCTTCTCGCAGGCCTCGTGGATGTGTTGTTTGAAGGCATCGAGTCCGGGCCTACTACCAATCATGCGGCCCTCGATTGCTGGCCGCAACCGATGCTCGCCAAGATGCACATTCCTGCAGAAGCAGACGCTCAGCTGCTTCGTCATCAGCTCTGGGTCCCGGTTGAGCCGCACTCTTCGCGCGTTGTCGCCACTCTCCTCCAGCACTTGGCGTACGACACGTTTGAAGTCAACCGCGCGCTTTCGCGGAATATGCTGAATGGCCACCTGCGTGCCGGCCATCTGCTTGCAGCGCTGCCTGCAGCTTCGCTCGCCTCGACCTCGGACGCTGATGTCCACCGTTCTGCCTCTGAAGCTACGTTCAGCTCCCGCTCGACCTCGTCCTCGACAAGCTCGGAATTCTCTCCCTCCGTCCTGTCGGGTCTCGAGCAGGCCTGCTCGTTGCGCGCGGCTACCAGCGATTCTGGAGTGCAACGCGTTGCTACTCTATTCAAGCTCCAACATGGCGCGTCTGTGGAGGACTCGCGGCAATTCCTCGCTCGGCTTGTGGCGATGGGCGCAGCACAGGTCGATGCACTTCGAAGTGATTCGCATGCGACCTGCAGTAGCACATCGCCGCACGGTGTCCTTGCTTGTTTGCATGCATGTCTGCAGCACGTGGCGTGGGGCCGCGTCTTTGGCTCCGATGCCTGCGAGCAAACGCGCTGGAGCGAGTGGCTTGCTGCGTTGCTCTCCGTGGTCGAACAGATGGTTCCCGCGGCGCTCGACTCACTTGCCATTAATGATGCCATCACTGCTACTATGGCTGGTGAGGCTGCCGAGGATGAAGCAGCTTGCGACGACGATGATCTCCAAGACGAGTCGAACGATCAACACATTATTGTCCGCACATCCATTTGGTTGACGCTACGAACGATCTGCGACTTGCTGGGCGCCCTTGTTGAAGCCATCGGGCTTCCCAACGAGACAGCACAGTCACTGAGCGGTGTCTTGTCCCTCTCCGTTGCTCAGGTTCGCTGGATTGGGCGAATCTACCTGCAAATCCTCACGTCGGTGCGGCACCGCGGCATTGTCGAGCGTGGTAGCGAAGCCTTTGCGAATTTGTGCCAACAGCTTCTCGCGACCGGCCGGGTTTCCCTTGTCACACTACCGTGCGAGTGGCTCGTAAGCATCCTGCACACGCTGGAAGGAGTCCAGGTCTCGGTGACTCGCCGTTCTGCGGGGTACCCGTTTGTCATTGCATCCATTCTCGCTGCACTCGTAAAGCACCACTATGTTTTGCCCGTTGTGTCGCCCGCCTTGGTGTTGGGCTCGTCGGCGTCGGCGTCCGCAAGCGCAGAAGGCTCTGCTGACGATCTGCTCAGCCGGGTCGTGACATCCCTGTTTGCCCTGGCGTCCAAACCCGTGAGCCTCGATGCTGACCAAACCGTCGATCTGGTTCAAGTCCATGCGCTGAATGTGCTACGCGCTCTGTTCGCCGATAGCAGTCTCAGCGCCTCGCACATGCAGCGGTTTTGTGCGCACGGAATGGTGGTGGCGTTGGAGGGGCTGTGCTCTCCCAGTTGGGCAGTCCGGAATAGCAGCACGATGCTCGCATCAGCGCTCACCTTTACGCTCGTCACCTTGACTCGGCTCAACCAAGACGAGTCGCGTGCCCAGCGCATCTCGCCCGCCGTGTTGTTTGCTCGCTATCCCGCGTTGCTCCCGCAGCTCCGCGACCTTCTGCTCAAGCACCAGCAGCCCGACCAGCCGCTTCGAGAGCAGTCCAGCATGCAGAGCGCGTTGGTCTTGCTTGGCAAGCTCGGCTCCGACGTGGATCCTTCGGACATTCCCGGGGCGCTGGCCAACGACATTCTCGACTTGCGCGATGTCATTGCCTTTGCTCGGAAATCCCCCATCCAAGCTGTGAGGATTGCAGCGGCTCAAGCTACAGTTGCGCTGACGCCCGTCAGCGATCGTCCTCAGCTTTGCATCAACGTCCTCGAAATGTTGCAGGTGCTGGCAAGTGTTCGCACCAGCTCGAACGAGTTGCATGGGCTGCTCTTGCTCTTGGACGCGGCGCTCACGACAACGTTGCCCGATTTCGTCACGCGCGCGTTCTTTGCCCCAGCGCACGCCACGATGTCGCCGTTCGAGCTGATGCAGCAGCTGACAGCCCAGCAGTCCACACTCGTCTCGCTCGCCACCACGGGCAGTCGGGAGTGTGCCACGTTGAGATTTGGGGCTGTGGCGGCGCTGCGGAATATTGCCGTTGCCTGTCGCGCACTGTCAACGGCCGCGCGGATGGCTGCAGTCGGACTGTCCATTCCAACGTTGCCTCTGCAGGCGCTCTCCGATAGCATGTGGGGCGCTTCCGCTCACGCGCTTTGCGCCAGTCCCACGGCCAGCGTTCGCGCAGTACTGCCGCATCATCCGCTGCAGCAGCGCATTTACGCCACCGTACTGGTGGATGTGTTGGTGGACGAGTTGTCGCGGTCTGCCTCCTCCAATGGCACTGGAAGCGGTCAAGTCGAGTCCGCGCTGTGGTGCCTGCAAACGCACACACTGCAACTGCTGCCGGCCTCGAGTCTCCCCACCCCAACAACGACCCGAACGCCCAAGACGACCTCTTCCGAGTTGGTCCTTCAAATCGTCGCGTTTCTGTTCACCTACTCTGGCGAAGATGGCTTGATGGCGGCTCTGGATGACCTTTCGGATGCGCTCGAAGCTGCACGCACACCTGGCGTGCGATTTGTGCGAGATGCAACACAACAGTGGCGTTTGGATGACGTCTATATGCTTGTCTGCAACCTCATCCAGGTGGCGCATCGTAATCCCAACCACGACCTGGCTTGGACTGAAAAGGTGTTCAAGCTGCTCAATCTTCTACTCACCTACCCGGGCTTCCTCTCCTGGGTGTCGAGTGAGCCGCTTGCTGCTGCAAACTTTCAGGCTCTGCTCGACAGCTTGCTCTCGCACATCAAGCAAGCTCTCCTGCAAGCCGCTGCCATTCCGGTCCCGCACGCTGGCTGCGCCCTGACAAGAGTGCTCTTGCCGGTCTTGTCCACGCTGTGCGTGCTGGACGGGACTGGTGGTCCTGTGTGCACCGATGCCTTCCGTCTCTGGCTTGAGCGAGTCGGGTGGTGCATGGATGACGAACAGCCACTGTATCTGCGGTCGTCTGCGATTGAGGCGCTGAATACTGTATGGAGCTTTGCGTGGGCTCGTGCTGCGGCCGCTGCTGCCAGCTCTGACTTTGTTCAAATGTGGCTGGTTTGTATTCGTGGCCTCCTTGACGATGATGAAGACGTTCGTGTTGCGACGTGCAACACGCTTGCTCGGACGCTTCGAGCGCTCGATCTCGAAGCCACCCTGCCGCTTGTCAAGAACAGTGATTCGATGCTCAAGGTTGCTTTGTCGCACTACATGGCCACCTGTGAGGCTCTGCTTCCTCCAGACTCTGTCAACACCTGGTTGAGCGCGCTGTTCGAATTGACTCTCCCTCCTGCGTCTGTGGCATCCGATCTGGATGATCTCAGTCTGCAAATGTCGACCGTTGGTTTCAATGCAGGGTCTCAGCAACGCGCGCCCGAGCGGGCTGCTGCTGTCTTTTTCCGCGAAAAGTCAAACATGCATCGAGAAGACGCGGTGCTCGCTCGCTCCGTTCGAAACGCTGTGCAAGAACGCCTCGAACAGAACGCTGATCTCTTTGCTGCCAGTGTTTTACCGCTCGAACCGATCCAATCTTTCTTTGCTCGAACGCTCGGATGGTTTGAAGAACACGGGCCGCTGCTCTTTTCCGACTCTGCGCTGGTCTCATCGCTTCTCCGCCCTTCTGAGGCGTTTGTTCGAGTCACGTCGCGTGTGGTTGAGCTCTGTTCCGTTGTCCAAATCCTAGCTACCAGTCAGCCTTCGAGTGTGTGGGTGTCCATCCATCAGCAAGTTGAATCTCTCGTTCCGCAGCTGCTTCGGACGCAGAACAACCCTTGAGCAAGTCTAAGCGTGAGCATATGCAGCTCGCTCAAGGGCGACAACTGACATCGACGTACTGCTATCCCCCAAATGATAAGCCTTATGTTTTATGTTTTATGTTTGATGTTTTTCGTTTCCCAAACACATTTTCCAAACAATCGTTAAAAAAAATGTTCATTTTTTGAGGGGTCGAAACAACCGCGAAATAAGACAAAATTGTCAAACGCCAAACACACATAAAGATGATGGCCCTAGATGATCACAGCTGGACGAGTTTGGCATTGTCTTCCTCCTGCAGCGGGGAAATGGATCGATTGGTGCTGCTGTCGGGCGACAAAAAGTCGGCGCCCCAGGTTGATCCCGCGCTGCTGCTGGATGTGACCGACTCGCCGCTAAAAGAGTGCGCAAAGGGTTCGCCGGCCGCGGGAGGCGCGTGATGTCCAAAGCGAATGTCTGCAGGCGAGGATCCGATGCGGCGGTGGCCCAGATGTGCAGGCAGAGGGCGGGCTGGCGCACCGTCCCAGTTGGCGAGACTGGAGGTCTGTCGATTCAGCGGAGCAAACGTGCTGGACGGAGGAGGGGCAATCGTCACTTGGGGAGGCGCACCGGGTTGAGTTGTTGCTGCCGGCGGCGGCCCAGGGAAGCTATGCGGAGGGGCGGAGCGCGGTCCAGGGGAGTGGTCGGTCTGCGGAGAAAACAGATGCAGATGGGCAGGAATGGCTGTCAGGTGCTGTGCCGAACTAGGAGGAACGCTGTGCGACGATGGAACGGGAAAGTCGCTGGCTGTCGGCGCAAACGCCGGCATGTCTGAAAACGGATCGGATGAATCGAATGTGGCAGATGGTTGGGCTGGAGGAGGCGCACTATCAAACTGCACAAGCGTCGCCACAGGTGCAACAATTGGGGCACTTTGGGTCATTCCGCGATGGGCTGCCCAATATGCACTCTGCTGATCCGACCCGAATGTGGCGTGGGATGCATGCTCCGACGCGTGTTCATGGTATTGTTGTTGCTGTTGCTGTTGCTGTTGTTGCTGTTGTTGCTGTTGTTGTTGTTGCTGGTGGTGAGAGTGGGGGAGTGGATGGTGCTGAGCAGGAGCGTGGTGTTGCAGCGACATGTGCATCATCTGTTGTTGGGCTGCAAACATTTGCTGCTGTTGCTGCTGTTGCTGATAAAACGCAGCTTGTTCTTGAGTACCGGCAAATGGCTGGGCTGAACCGAATGGTTGCTGAGAAGCCGGGCCCGCCTGCTGGTTGAAGGATACGAGGGTTGCGGGAGCCGATGCCTTTGGTCGCTCGCGTCTGGAAGGAATGCAATTCAAACCCGTATGCAAACATAAGCAACCAATATCCGACAAACAAAGGACGCTGCAATCAAACGACCGACCTCGACTGTACGGGACTTGCAGTCGAGGCAATTGGCGTGACCTGCAACTTGACGGGGGCTGACTGAACGGGCTGGACGGGCCGTTCTCCGCGCTGCTGTGCCTGCGAGGAAGTGACAAGGGCAGTGAGACACTCACAATTGTAGAGTACTACGTCGTTGTGAAAACAAATCTCCTCGCAGCAAACGTACCACCAGCGGAATGGGTGATTGTAGGCCTCGAACTGTAAATACTGCATGCGCGACTTCCGTCATATTGGGTCGGTAATCGGGGTCTACATCAAGCATGTACTCTGCGAGAAAGAAGGAGGCCAAGTTAGAGAAGATGACGCAAAAAAAAAACAGCAATCGTGTTTTCAACGCCGCACTGATCAAACGATGAATCGGATCCGAGTAGACTGGCGTTGCGGGAGTCGTGTATGTGCCGCTGATGATGCGCACACTGCTTTCCTCGAACGGCGTAACAAAGTAGCACAAACGGAAGAGCATGCAACCAAGAGCCTGCGACCGAGTATTAGATCAAGCAACGCGTCAGTGCATATGCCTTCAATGCCCCTCAGCTCTCAGGTGCAACAACAACAACAACAAATCCGAGATTGTGTAAAATAAAAAAATGACAATGCGCATACCCAGATATCGGCCTTCGTGTCAATGCACTTGCCCGAGTACAGATCAATCATTTCGGGCGCGCGGTACTGAATGGTCGTGTGCTTTTGAATGTCTTCCTCGATATCTGGAATGTGCGGTGACTTTGGCACAACGGCCTTGTCTGTCGCGCTGCCAAAGTCACAAAGTTTGTAATGCCCTGGACTGGCGATGAGCACGTTTTCGACCTTGAGATCGCGGTGAATGATTGGGGGCGATCGCGAATGCATGAATGCGACAGCCTCCACCACGTCGCTCAAAATGCGAAGAACTTCGGCTTCGGGAATGCCATTTCGATGGCTGTTCATCAGATCGATGACCTGGCCGCCTGCCAAATTTCAAGAGGATGAGTGAGATGACCACCGTCGTTGGATCCTGTCTCTGGCTCAACGACAAAGAAAACTTGCCAGTGCACAGTTCCATCGCCATAAAGCCTTGGTACAGGCCCGCACGCACTTGCGAGAGTGTGTAGTCCTTGAGGGCGACGATATTCTTGTGACCGGACAAGATTTGCTGCAAATTCGTTGCAAACCATCGCACTTTCGTGAGCGTTTGAGACGACAAAATGTACAAATGTGCAACAAAAACCCAGCAACAGCACATCGCGTGCACATCGCGGAGAGTATTTTTTTTTTTTTTTTTGTTCTGGTGGTGTTTGTGGTCGCGGTCTTTGCGGTCCTGCACAACCGAAAACCCAAAAACAAAACAAAAAAAAAAAAAAAAAATCTGCTGTTACCATAAAGTCAATTTCGCTCTTGATTTTGGCAACGTCCTCTGAGGCGACGCTCACTCGCTTCAGCGCGACCGCCTGGCCATTGCCGAGATCGCGAGCCCGGAAGACGTATGCGAAACCACCTGTTGCCCAAACAACAACAACAACAACAACAACAGCAAGCCAGAACAAAGTGAGCCTGTGCGGTTTGGAAGAAGATTTGAAATTTGGACGACGGTTTCTTTTTTTCTTTTTTTTTTTTTGCTTTTTCTGCTCTTTCAAGCGACTTCTGTGTTCTGCGATGCGCAATGGCTCCACAGACGTAACGTTGTAGCACTTGTCATTCCCATTGCTGATTGCATAGGATCGCCCTGGATGCCCGTCCCTGCTTCAACTTGCACACTGGCGACGATGCACGAACATGTCGATTTCAAGGCCTTCTTGCTCCAATCATCATCGTCACGATCGTCGTCGTCGTCATCATCATCATCATCGTCATCATCAACATTGTCTCATGATCTTCAGCATCAGGAGCGACGGAGGCGGGTAGAGACAAAAAGCGACCAAAACCCCAGATTGATGACCTGTCGCCCATCCCGCCCCCCTTCCTCCTTTGCCCACCCCTCACCCCTACTATCCTCGAAACCCGAGCCCTGGAGCGACTCGTCTCGCCAAAGGAAGAATCAGCCGAACGAAAGTTGTGGTGCAGCTTCAGCAGCTTCAGCTTCACCTTCAGCAATGAGACTTTCAACCATGACGCGCGAACCACCAGTCATGGAAATCGTCCGGCCAATGAACGCCTGGGCGCCGCTGTCGTCTGCAGCACCACCGACAAGACTGCTGCTGTTGGCAGATGCGCCGCCAGCAGCCGATGAGAAGACGCCGCCGCCGCGTCCAGCCGAGCTGCTGATGGTATTGACGGCGTTGGCCGCGGAGGACAGGAACTTTTTCATGAGACGAGAGAATATAGACTGACTGACTGAGCTGGCAAAGTCAAGTGAAGAAGATCAGGATGCTGAGGGTGGGTACAATATGAATTTAAGTTGACATCTACTTGGTGATTTTGAGGAAGTGGGGGGGGGCATCATAACATGAAAAAGTAGCCAGAAAATGCAGTCATAGATGTCGAAACCCGAAAACCAGAACTGCAGAGCATTGAATCATCGAGCGATTCGAACAGCTGGACCTGTCGGTGTTGAAAAACTGCAAAATGGGGAGGGGGGGGGCGGTGGAGCGATTGAGAATAAGCCTCTCAACAGCAAAGCAACATTGTGGGCTCGAAAATCTCACTTGCCTCTCAAAGCGGTCGCTACCAATCAGGTCCAACACGATAAATCGAGCAGAGACATCACACTTGGTCAGAACACGAGCGTAGAGCGACTGCAAAAGGGGCAACGGTAAGTTGAAAACTCGAGAAAACTTTAGAAGCTGCACCACAAGTCCCCTCCCAGGCTCCATCTCGCCTCACCTGCTCAGAGGCTTCTTTGTACTTGGCCTTTCGCACAATTCTTAACAATTCCGCGCGGCCTCGCGCGAGCTGAATGTTGAAAACTCCAACCCGAGGAATAGCAAACCAAAAGGAGCCGACAGATCTCATCGTGAGAAGTCCCGCGTTCATTAATAGGCTGCCCGTGAAATGAAGGGAAGAAAACAGAATGAGAAATAAGTGAGAAGACGCATCGAGCTGGTTGCCACTTTGTAGTTTGAAAAAAGTCGGAAACTCGTACCCGATGCCTGCCTCGTCTATTCCAGAACTATTGAGCTGCTGTGTCGTTACGCTCATTTCGTTCACAGCTGGCAAAAGCGACGTGACGAACGATTCTGCCGCGTTCAAGGCATGGGGAAGAGCAGAAGAAAACACGAAAAAAAAAACCAAATGCGTCAAAATGAGCCAACCTCCGACCAACAACAGGCAACAAACACATGTGGCACAACAACACACTGCAACCGGTGACTTCACTGACCAAGCGCCTTCTCATTGGTTGGCGTTTTCACGGACTGAACATGCTCGACAAAATCGGCAAACACCATGATGGCCGTGTCCTCAGACGCCACGTCGAGTCGAAACAGCCGAACAACATTGCGTTGTTTGAGTTGCATCTGCAAGATAACAAAACGATCGAATCAACATTGGCCAGAGTGAGATAGTGAATACCTTTTGGCGCGGAACGACGCAAATCCCACACCGATCAGCAATCCACCATCCCCCAGCTTCAACGTACTAGCTCACGATCCACCGACGTCCGATCGTCGACGACAGCATAGAGTTGATGCATGAGCGCGAGCGGTGGGAACAAGGCTGACGACTTTTGAGCGCGGCTGTGCAGAATGCTCGCCAATCTGGCCGCAGTCTTGGCTCCAGGGCGCTGGGTGATGGCAAACGGCGTAAAACTGCTCGATCCACTGGCTGAACCGTGTGCCGTCTCGACAGGAGGGGCGACGAGCAAGTTGCGCGCATACATGATTGCTGCGAGCACGTCCGACGGCGGCGCTGACGCGGCCATGAGTGCGTCTGATTCTTGGAGCGCGTCATCGAGTTCTTCCTCCTGATCGGATGCATGGTCGGCAGCGCCTTGGTCTGAGGAGGGAGCAGCAGTCGTCGTGCTGCTCGGCTGTCCTGTCGCGGCTCGCGTTTCAAGTCGTATCCGCTTGCTCGTCGTCGTGTGATCGGTCGGACTTGGAGCGCGTTCGTCTCGCGTTGGGTCGGATTCTACAGCATCGTGCCGCCGACGGGTTGGAGGCATATCTGTCACCAAACAAAGCTGCTCAGAGATTGCTCAAAATGAACGGAAAAGGAGGAGTGGTCGGCTCTCTGTTTGAATGTTCGCGCCCCTCGACCAAGGCCGCACTCATGACATGACAATCTAGAATGAACTACACTACCGCTGTTGCTAGAGTACGTTGCGTCGAAGAGTGCAACAAAACCGCGATTGATTGATCGATGGATTGAATGATTGATCGATGAATGCACCCGCCCTCTTGCCTTGCTTGTGAACAGCAGGATTTGATTCATCTCCTGCTGGTCAAGGTGCTCCTTTGTTGTGAAAGTGCAACCCATCCAAATCCAAAGAGCAGCAATCATCTCACTCGCAGTCCAGTTTCGCAATCTGCCGACAGCTTTCGGAAATGTCAGCGGCGGCGTCCCCAGCAACCAAAGACAAGAGCAAGAGCTCGTCGTCGTCGTCGTCAACCCCGGTCGAAGGCGTGACCACCGTGACCCCGCGGCCGAGCGCCGTGTCGCTCGCATCGGCCATCAACGCAGCAGCTGATGCGGCTGTGAGCCAGTCGGCCAGCGCGCTCGCCTCGCCTGCGTCCTCGTCCTCCCTCGCAACGGGAGCCAGCAGCGACACCGTTGCCACTGCAGGCTCTGCGGATACGGGCGCCGCCTCGGGGCCGGCCGTCCCCTCCGGGCCAGGATCGCCGGCAGGAGCAGGAGGCGCAAGGCAGGGATCTCAGCAAGCGTCGGCGGCGCAGTCCCCAGCGCCAGGAGGCCAGGACATGGCCAACGTCGAGCAACTGACTCGCGAAATGTTTAGCCGCGTGTCGGAGTACGTCAAAGGCGAGCTGCGGCTGTCGGCCGAGGACTACAAGCTGCTCCAGGTGATGAACGAGCGGACGGCTGAAAAGTATGCCGGAATGACGTCCCTTGCGACCAACCTGAACAAGACGATGGCGCATCTGAATGAAAAGCGTAGGTTTATTGTATTTTTCTTGTTTGATGGATTGCGTTTGAGTACCAGGAAACGTGCAAGATTTTTTTTTGGTCGTTTTATTCGTTGTGTTCTGATTCGAATGTCTCGTCGTGCGTCACAGAGGCAAGTCTGCAGCCCTATCTCAGTCAAATCGATCAGATTGAAACAATGGTGGAAGAGTTGGAACAAACGGCAAACCGTCTGGACCAATACTCGCGACGATTAGGTAAAAACAAAATTTGTCAGATTTTTGAGACGCAGGTTTCTTTTTCAGTTCGTCTGCTCACTTGCTCGCTCCGTTTTGGTTCTTTGCTGTTTTGTGAAACAGAGGTCAAGTTCAAAAAGCTGGAACGACGATAATGCTGAACGCGCTTGCTTGCTGGCCACTCGTTTCCATTTTGTCAACAATGTACAAACCCAAATTAACCCTTTGTTCCGTGTCTATCAGTCACAATGGAGCATAAAACATGTATATAAGGAAAAAACTGCTTGATTATTTCGAACAAAAACACCAAACAGCAGGTGGGGGAAACGTCTGGAAGACAAATAACAAAACAGGGGCTAGGTTATTTATGCATCAGCAGAGGCAGCCTCCTTCTTGCCACCCTTCTTGCCACCCTTGGTGGTGGCGGCGGCAGCAGCCTCAGCCTCAGCAGCGGCAGCCATCTCGTCACCCTTGGTCGAGCGAGTGTAAATGTACTGAGCAGAGTGCGACTCGACGAGCTTGACAAGGCCCTTGTCAGCGAGCTCCTTGAGAGCGGCGCGGGCAAGAGAGCCACGGATCTTCAGGCGCTCAGAAAGAACCGAGGGGGTGATGAGCTTGTACGAGGGGACTTCCTTGAGGAGACGCTGGTATCCGTCCTTGTCGAACAGAACAGCGTTGTTCAGCTTGTCGCGGACCTTGCCCTTCGACCACTTCTTCTTCTTGGACTTGCCACCGGACGCGGCCGCAATGGCCTTCGCCTCCTTTGTCTTCTGCGGCTTCGGCGGCTGTGTTGTGCAAGAGAAAGGGGGGAAAAGAAAAAAAAACGAGGTGAGCAAAAAAAAAAATCAAACAGAAAAAAAAAAAAACGTGGAAAAAGAAAAGTCGAGGAGGATGCTGTCGTTCGCGGATTGCGGGAAGGCGTGCGTCGATGGCGATGCTTCGGAGCAATGGGGTTGCCGAGTTGCCGAGTGGAGTCGCGCAGGAACAGAGCAAAGGATGGAGGACGGAAGAAAGAAAGAAGAAAAAAAGCAACCGAAGAGAAAAAAAAGCAACAGATTTTTGGTTTTCTTCTTCTTCAGCGTAATCCAGCCGAGGCAGCGCTGCGCAGCTGACGAGACGCTTGTCAATGTGCAAAGCCGCAGGTGAAGGTCGCAAGCGGACACTGGCGAGGAGAGCAGGCAGCGCAGAGCGTGCAGACAAAAACGCACGAAAGCGCGACCGACAAAAGAAAAATCCAACTTTCCACCCCGGCAGGCTTCGCAAAGGCATCCGACGCCCGCATCCTCTCGCAAGCGCTCGCTCCACACGCATATCCGATGAAACACCTCCAAATCTAACGGATTCGCGCAAAGGAAAGGTGCAGGCGGGGTGGCAGAGAGGGCGATGCCGTCGAGTACGAACCATTTGACAAAAGTTAGAGAGGCCGAGCACTGTCCAAATCGGTTTTTCCTTTCAAATTCAATTTTTGCTTTTTGTGGAACTGCGATTGTGAGTTGTTGCCCCCAACGAAGATTGTTGTCGAATTGTACGGAGCACTGTGTCGCTTAGAAGCAAGAGTTTTGAGCGAGAGTCCAAGGGAAAATAAAATGCTCTGCACTTGAACTTTGAGAAATCTCATCAGAACCCCTCCATCGTTATGAACGCCGCGTCCATCGGCAATCACAGTGCTCTACCATCAAAAGCCAGTATACACTATGCATTACTTGGATTGAATCGAGCTAATGACAACGCAAAACAAACAAAAAAACAACCAAAAGCCCATCAACATCCGCGCGGCTCGTGGCGTTTCAAGAAGCCGTTCAGCACCTCGTTCAATCGGGCAAATTCAACCAAAAAGCCATCGTGCCCGTCGTATGCTGGAATGGCGACAAACTCGGCGTGAGCTATATGGCTGCTCATCTCCGCCTGCTCGGCAATCGTGTACAGCAAATCGCTCTCGACGCCAACCACAAGCGCGGGTTGCTGAAGCTGAGCCAGTGCTTCCTTGTATGCCTTGTTGGCAATGGCCGCAAACTCTCGCGGGGTCAACGAGGGTGCAGCGCTTGCGGCGGGAGTCTCGCGAGAAGGGTTGTGAGCCTGAATGGCCAAAGTTGGGGCGAGCTCGGCAGGCAAAGTGCGTCCGCGCGCGACATCGTGCGTATCCATCATCTGCATCAATCGCATGTAGCAATTGGCGTCGTATCGCTGCACGAGCTTGCGCCCTTGGTAGCGAAGGTAGCTCTGGATGTTGAAAAAGTACTGATCGTTCTCGGCGTTATCCGTTCGGTACTTTTCCGGTAGGGCAGCCGGGTCCTGCACCTGGCGGCCAAATCGCTCTTCCATGGAGCTGGATGAACGGTAGGTCAGCATGGCAATCATGCGAGCGGTGGCCAGGCCTTGTGCCGGCGGGTCGTCCAGCGGGTAGTTTCCATTGCGCCACTTTGGGTCGTTGATAATCGCCTGTTTTTGTAGTTTGTTTGATGGCGGTGATGAGAGTGATGATGGTGAGTGAATGTCACGACATTGAAGAGCAATAATCGAGTGCAACCGGTTACCTGCCGCTGTGTTTCGCTCCAGCCAATGCACCAGGCTGATTGCCTGCCACAGCAAGCAATCAGGACAAGATGGGCAACGACGGTTGTTCCGAAATAGCCCCATTCGAGTGCCTGCGAGCATAGAAATCGACGATGAGTGACGGAAAACCGGAAACGTCGCAAGCGTACATGGAGTCGTCAGTCCACTGACCTGCATGCCTCCAAGTGATGCGCCGACAACAGCGAAAATCCGCTGCACGCCAAGCGCCTCCTGCACCAGTCGTCGGTGCAATCGAACTGTATCTCGAATCTTCAAGTCGTGGGACAGAACGCGTGTTTCGAATATGAATGCCTCCGTCTCAAAAAGAAGAGGAAAAAAAACGAGGTGCCTGTGTGCTCTGAGGCTTTGTGAGAGGCCGTTTTGACGTACAGTAACATGGGGAAATGCTGCGCCGTACGGCTGCTGGGTGTCTGGATTGATGGTTAACGGGCTTGCGGTGCCATACGGAGATCCGAGCACGTTGGCGCAAATCACGAAATATCTGTCCCGATCCGCAAACAGGACAAAAGGGATGGAATGAGGTGCAGTGACGTTTGGAAGAGCACCATCAGGATCAGATTGGGATGACGACATCCCCCCTCAGCAAGTCACGAACTTGTCGGTTTTTGACAACCGCAGCTCGACTGTGAGTAGCGGAGAAACTCACACGCTCGTGTCCAGCGGCTTGCCTTCACCCAGGATCGGCGCCCACCAGCTGGATACATCAGAGTGGCCTGTAAGCGCGTGGCAGACCTGTGAACAGCAGGGGCACAGGCACGACTGAATGAGTTTTGTGGTGACATTCGAAGCGCGGCGACGCGGCGGCTTGCTCTCTCTCTCCTCTGTCTCCCTGCTTTCCCTGCATCACTGATGGACAAAACCATGGTGATGAACTGCAGACGGGATGCGACGGCGAGCCTCAAATCCCCCAGCCACACTCCGACCAACCCGAGAAAATCGCTTCCTCACCACAATCGCATTGTCGCGGGTCGGGTTGAGCGTGCCCCAGGTCCGAAAGCCCACTTCGACATTGCGCAAGACACGACCACACTCGAGTGTAAACTCGTCGAAGACTGCACGGCGCTGCTTGAGCATCACGCCGTCGCCGACGTGGAACTCGTGCTCTTGTTCGATGGTGAATCCCATTATTGGATAGCAGGAGCTTTCTCGCCACTGGAAATAGAGTGCATTACGATCATCATCATTCCCTTTGGTTTTGCATTTTATTTTATTTCACCTTTGTATTTGTTCTGTTTTTGGGAGAAGCCTTTTTTGCGCTTACTCCACTTTTTGATCAAGTAAAAACATCACAATGGTAAAGTAGCCAATGATCTTCACTTTGCTCGCTTCATCTCTCCTCCCCCCTCTTCCACTCTCTCGGAGATCTCCTTCGTTTGTTTCTCTTGAAATGCTCCTTATCTCCGATGCTGTGATCCTGCCTTTGGCAGATCATGCGCAAATGGAGCAGAAGAAAGCATGGACGAGTTTTTTGAAGTTTTGGCGCGCTTTTTTTTTTCTTTTTTTTTTTCTTTTTTCTTTTTTGTTTTTGTACTTTGTGACTGTTTCCGCAATCTCGCATCGCTCCAGCGGGTGCAACTTGTAGCCTACGCTTGTGTGTGTTGCGTCCTTTCAATTGCGCTTTGGAGGCATCGATGAGACGTGTAAAGCAGGGCCTTTTTTGTTTTTTCGCTTGAAGGAGCAGCTTGCTGGGTATTTCGATTTTTTCTTTTTCCTCACACACGCCCAAAACACATTTCTTTCGCCCTCTCGCTCCAGTTGCATCCCAACTCGACCCGCCTTGCATATCCGTGTCTGTGTGTGTCTGTGTTACTGCCTGGCTGCTTGCGGCCGTGTCTGGTGCCATCCGGGCCTGGGGTTGACGACTTTAGTGTTTTCCCATTGCAAACTCAATCCACTCGATTCCCTTTTTTGGGTGAGCGTTTTCCCGCGCTTTTTGTTCTTTTTGGCTTTTTTTTTTCTTTTCGTTCCCCCTTTTCGCTTGCCGGTCTTCAGCCCACCCACTTCTTCTACACCCGCTCATATCTCCTAGTGTTGTCATTGCTGCGATACATGCCGTAATGTTGATGCTGAAAGCCTGCACTCACCTTGTCTCGCTGTTCTCGCTGCGTGTGCTTTGTTCCTCTACTTCCCGTGGGACTCCCATCCTGACAGTCTGGCAAGGGCAAGGCAGCTAAGACTTCCGAGAAGAAGCACGACAAGAACAAGCCGCAGACCCGCTCGCTTCGTGCCGGTCTCCAGGTACCGTTACCGATCAAGAAAGAAGAAGAAAGAAAAAAAAAACGCCATGTCGCTCACTCGTCGTCATGCTTCTCGCTGTCCGTCCGTCTTTCTTTTTTTTGCATACAGTTCCCCGTCGGTCGTATCCACCGTCACCTCAAGGAGCGCTCGACCAGCCACGGCCGTGTTTCGGCCCTCGCTGCCGTCTACTCTGCCGCCATCCTCGAGTACCTGACCGCCGAGGTTCTCGAGCTCGCTGGCAACGCCTCGCGCGATCTTAAGGTCAAGCGCATCACCCCTCGTCACCTCCAGCTCGCCATCCGTGGTGATGAGGAGCTCGACACTTTGATCAAGGCCACCATTGCTGGTGGTGGTGTCATTCCCCACATCCACAAGTCCCTCCTCACCAAGAAGGTGCCAAAGATCCTCCTTCCCGGCCAGCCCATCCCGAAGTAAAAGAAAATCCTGCACAGCGCCAGGACGGATCGCTGAGGTTGTAGAGCCGTCCTGCACCCGACCAACACCAAGAAAATTATATAAACGAAAAACAATAAAAAAAACCAACTGGGCTCTATTCGAGCTCAAAAAAAAAAAAGTCTCATGCACATGCTCAGTACTAGTCTTGCTTGTTCAATCTAGATTAACACCTTCAGCAGGAGGAGGGGGAGCAGCAAGCAAAAGTGGTGGAACAGCTCGATTTTGGATTCCTCGACAGCAGTCCTTAATTTTATTTTTTTTTCTGGTTTGGTGTCCATTATCCATTATTGTATTCATACTTGTCGAGTTCGTTACAAATGCTGCTACTCAAGCCTCCATGGATTACACAACCAGCGCTTTTTTTTTTTTTTTTTTTTTTTTTTGGTTTGGTTTGGTTTGGCTTTGGCGCACGTCTTCGCCATGAAACTGACCCTGTTGCTCTCGCTTGGTGTATCGGGTGCGCGTTGCATCGTGGTGTGGCAGGACCCATCTTTACTATTGATATCGACCATGCCGGCATGCGCCTCGCCACAGGCGGAACTGGTACAGCATCTCAATCGTCTTCGAAACCCTTTTTTTTTTTTTTTTTTTTTTTTTTTTTTTTTTCACTTAACACTCGAAGCCCGATTCCTGTCTGATTCGATTCAACACCCGCAGATCGCAAGGTGCAGATCTGGAACATGGATCCGATTCGCCACGAAGCCGTGGAGCGAGACAATTTGACACCGTTGCTGCTCGCGACCCTGACCAACCACGAAGGTAACAGCGAAAAGCCATTTCCCGCCAAAAAAAAAAAAAAAAAATCTCAGACACCGAGCTGTAATCCTTACTACCAATGCGAATCAAGGGCACATGCATATGGCCAACCGCTGGAACTACAAATGGCTTGTATTTCTTGCGCAATCCTCACTGGCACTCGATTTTCGTTCATTTTGTTTTTCTCAATAGGCGCCATCAGTTGCGTTCGATGGGCACCCACGGGAAATATGCTCGCATCTGCTGGCGATGACAAGACCATTGTGATATGGCAGCTGTCCAGGTACGTCTTGCATCTACTGGATGACTGTTTAGGGGGGGGGAAGCCTGATCCTCGACGGTATGTGCTCATTGAACCAACTCACCCGCAACATTCAGCGACAAAACGTTCGGCGGTCTCGTCATGAGCAACTTGGAGGGTGACGTCAACATCGAGTACTGGCGCTACACGAAAGCCCTGAAAGCACACCTTGGTGGTGAGTAGTCAGCTTGTTCTCGCCACGACAACGCTTTGGAGTTTTTGCTCAGTCCTTGCCTCGCATTATTGCCGCATTGGTGCTCAGATGTCACGGATCTTGCCTGGGCTCCGCATGGCCGCCAGTTTGCATCCTGCTCCCTCGACGGCGTCATTTGCATTTGGGACACGACAAACTTTAGTGCGAGCTGCTCGTGGTGAAATTGCAGGATTTTGTAAAAAGTGGCCGTCGCTAAACTCACTGTGTTTGGTGTTGCGCATCCCATTGGCAGCTCTTGCACACAAGCTCGAGTACCATACGGGCCCTGTCAAAGGCATTGCATGGGACCCGGTCGGCGAGTTTTTTGCCAGCCAAGTGAGTGGAGGCGATTGTTTGGCGTTTTTGCACCTACTGATTGTGCTCCTCCGACATAGTGACATATTGGGTGACTGCTAACTCTCTGTGGTGTGTGATAGTCTGGTGATAACACAGTTGCAGTGTGGCAAACGCGCGATTGGGAAGTTGTGCGAGCCATTCAAAAGCCGTTCGAGCAGGCAAAGGATACCCTGTTCTTCCGACGCTTGAGGTGGGTTTTGTGCACAATGCACATGGTCTGTATGCGTTGTCCTGACGTTTCACGACCAACATTTCTTGTTTGCTTTGTTCTATGGCAATTGCTTTTGAACAGCTGGTCGGCGGATGGCTCGTTTCTCGCCGCGACCCATGCGTACAATGCCAACAAAGCCAGTCCTGTGTGTGCATTGATTGAGCGCAACTCCTGGGCCTGCACTCGTGACTTGGTTGGTCATGACGCGCCTGTCCAAGTCGCTGTACGCATTCAGCAAAAAGCAAAGGGGGGAATTGTGGAACTCAAAACAACCACGAACTTGCTCCTCACTTGCCCGGTACTTTTACAGAGATTTAGTCCGTTCATGTTCGTTTCACCTGATGTCAAGGATCCAAACCAGCGTTTGGCGGAGGCGCAGAATATTTGCGCTCTCGGGAGCCAGGACTGTGCCGTTTCTGTGTGGAAGAGCCCCAACGTTCGTGCGTTAGTTGTGGCCAAGTTTGTCCATTCCGACTCGGTGACTGACATGTGCTGGTACGGGAGCCGTCGCTCGGCATGCTTGATGATTTTTTGACAAAACATCTCATGAACCAACGATGCCTATTACTTTTCGCGGTTTGAACAGGGGTGACTCGGGATACGAACTGATCACCGCATCTTTGGACGGGACTGTTTGCTACATGAAATTCTCTCGAGAAGAGCTCGGCGAGCCATTGTCGCGCTCAGAGATGGTAATTTTTTTTTTCGAGACAAAACCTTACCCCGTTTTTTTTGTTTCTTTTGAACCATTTGGATTGACGACCTATTTGTCTCATGCTTTTCAATAACATGGTGGCCAGGCGCTGAAATTGCGAACGCTGCATGGAGAGGTCATCGACGACAATGCAGAGCCCTTCTTCATCGCCGAAACGCCGGAACAGTTGAGTTTGTATGAGCAACAACAACGGGAGCGCGCGGCAATCCCCATGGACACATCGGTCGTGCCAGTGCACAACTTGCCCCAAAAGCCGATTGCAGCATCCAAGCTGCTCGCGTCGGCGCCCCAGGCAGAGTCCTTCGCCAAGGATGGGCGTCGTCGAATTCAACCGCAACTGTTGGTTGCTAGGTAATGAGCAGGAGAGTTGCTGCGAGCGCTGTTGAGTGATTTCATGAGATGTGTCGTGCTCATCACAAGTTGAATCGTCCCCCAAATGTTGATTGGCGACTTTGATGATAGCACCGATGAGGCAGAAGCCCCTCAAACGGCCTTGGCACAAGTGCGGCAACCTGCAGCAGTTGTGCCGCGGCGTGTCGGCCCTGGCAACGGCTTGACGGCTGTTCCCAAAACACTCGGGATGGCATCGAGCTCGGCTCAGTCGGCTGCTTCTTCGTCGTCTCAGCCCCCGCCGTCATCGCGCGCGGCACCGCTGGCAGCTCAACCTGTGCAACGAAACCGTCCAGCGTTTGCGGTGCCCAAGGGAATGCCCGCGACGACTCCAGCCGCCGCTGCTCCGCTCGTTCCTGCAGCCAAACCCCCCGTGCGGGTGAATCCGATGGGCAGTGCTGCTACTACCTCCACCTCCGTTGCTGGCCCGATGACTGCAACGGCAACGACTTCAACCTCACGTGCTCCTGTCAGCCGTGGGGCCGGGTCGCAGCCAGAGTCCTTGCAAACGAAGGAACAGGTACTTGTTGTTGCTTCGAATACGGACTTACTTTTTGCTGTCACTCTTCGGGCTTTTCGTGTTGCCCACTGACTTTTGTCCGGCTCTTGTATTCTCTCTTGTTCTAGACCACGCGTGTGCAGAGCACCTTGCTGCTCTCTGCGCCAGAACTGCTGACCAGCGTCCAAATCTTTTCCAACCATAGCAACCAAGTTATTAGTGTGTCGGCTGACGAGCGAAAAATTCCTGTTGGCGACAGCACCCACATCAAACGTATGAACTTTTGAGTGGTGTTTTTTTTTTCCTCCTTTGTCACGTTCGTGTTTGGTATTTGTTTTTGGCTGACTATCTCATTTTGTGGAATTCCTCTAGTCGCCTACATCACCGCCGTGCCCAACTCGGAATCCGGGCCAAGATGGCACACCGTGCTCAATAGCCCCGTTCAGTATCTTGCGTGCAGCAGCAACTTTGTTGTGGCGCTGTGTAAAGACGGCGAAATCCATGTATTTAGCATTCTAGGGCGAAGGCGAGTCGATTTTCTTGTCGTGTTTGCTTCTGCATTTCATTTTTGTCTGAATTCCAATCTAACTGGCTGTTCCTGCTGCCTCTTGTTTTTCGGTTTGACAGAATTTTGCCGGCAGTTCGCATCCCCTCTGGTGTGCACTTCCTTGCCATTCACAACGAAGAATTGATTGTGCTTTCAAGGGACAAGCACTTGTATATCTGGTGAGTGAAAACCCCAGGTTGCTTGCTGTTGCACAACCATCCCCCAGCTGCTTGTTTGCTTCTCAACTCATCCCCGATTTTGTTTTGAATGCAGGAATTTGGAATCGCTCGTGTGTACGGTGCACGCAGAGCCGTTTAGCAGCGTGTTCGACCAACTTGAAGCCCATGTCATTGCAAAATACCAGGTCGAAGCCACAATCACCGTGACAGGAGTCATTGTCTTGCTCGTTCCTGCTGCGTACCAGTGCTACGCGTTTGATCCATCGCTGCGTGCCTGGCTGCTGGTCGTGGACAACGCCAACCGGCTGTTTGCATGCTCGGCCCATTCGTCTCACCTCCCGTCCACCCTGCCCGCGCTGGAATCCAGCAGCACTCGTTCCCGCTACGCGCTGCCGAATTCGCTGGCGCTCGCAGTGAAGCAAGTGGCCGAGCAGAACGCTGCGGTCGGCCCACTGAAATCCCTTCAACACAGCATCGGCCCGGGCCCGCTCAGTACAGCGCAAGTAATGTCCAGCGCTCTTGGTGGAGACCCCGACCTGCAGTGTGCAGCGACGGTCGCCTATCTGGAGCACCAGATTGCCGCGTCGGTCGCGCTGCTGTCCGTGTACGAGTACCAATATTGGATGACCACTCTCATCACCTTTCTGGCCGATGCCGGTTTGACCATCCGCCTTGGTGCCATGATGGAGTCACTCATCCCCGCCCACGAAGAGAACAGAGATCAACGGTTGGCACGAATGCTCGAGCCAGCCGACCACTATCGGCTCGTGGAAGCGCTGCTCGCCCGCCTAAGCTCGCTGCCCGGCTGCTCGAAACTGGCCACCAGTTTGCTCGAACGGCTACGAGCTGGCGGTGAAGCAATGGCCCAACTTGCGCGGCCACACTACTAAAATAAAGTTGGCGGTCTGGAACAGCCGCATGTTTGTTTGTCACACACTCGCGCGATCCATTTTATTGGGACTACTTGGACGCAGTATCGTGCACAGCAACAGCAAGAATGAGTTTTCAATCAAAATGTCATGAAATAACAAATAAAAAAAACCCTTGTTTTGGATTTTGTTAATCGGTGCGAGACTTCTTTGACTTTGGCTTGAGGACAAAATCGCTGCTAGTTACCGACTTGCCATCGTCGTGTCGACGCTGCGAGCAAAATAGAAAGCAACAAAGGTGCAGATAAAGTCAGCCACAGCAAACACAATGGGCGCAAAAACTGTTTCAATGGAACAAAGCAGTCATCCTACCTTCTCGCCACGAAGTCGGTTCTTCAGAGCTTCCACATCCATGTTCTTGGTTGTCGTGGGGTCTTGTGCAGCCACAGATGCGGCAGATTTGGCAGACGCGTCCTTGCTTCGCGTGGGATGAGCAGGCTCAGCGGGGGCTTCGAAAGCCTTCTCGCGTTGGCTGCGCTTTGCCTCTGCAGCTTCAGCCTGGCGCTCCTATATAGTATAGAAAGCAGACGAGGGTGAGCAGAAGAAGGTGAGCAAAACCTCCCCACCCCACCATCGCAATAAACCAAAACCAACAAACCCAAAAAAAGAACGAAAAAAAAAAAAAGAAACTTCGTACCTCACGCTCTTGTCGCAGCTGGGCACGACGGTCGTCTTCCTTGAGGAAATACTCGCCGGACTCGAGTTGCAAGTCGATCTTGCTGGGCTGGGGCAACGGCGGGAAGGGAGTCTTCTCCTTTTTTGTGATCTTGGGTTTCTTTTGCTTGACATTCTTCTTCTTGAATTGTGGCAGGAAGCGGTCCCAGCTCTCGGTTGCAAGAGCGGGGTCTTTTGCCAGCTCGCGCTTGATCATAAGAGTCTGATGGGAGGTGACGAGGAACGTATTGGCAAAAAAAAAGTGAGCAGAGGTCGAAAGGCAAAAAGTGGATGAGATCGTAAGAGAAAGGAGGGCACCGCGGTAGAGGTGGCACAAAGAAGAGCCTCTCTCGAAAAAAAAAAGGCAGCAGAATCAAAGGAAACAACACATGCGCGAACATGAAACAACAGAACGAACCTTGATATTGTAGATTGGGTGAACGTTGTGCAGACAGTCCTCCACAATGCGGCGAACCTCCTTCAATCCCTTGTAGCCGCCCATTGCGGCAACAGTGTTGCCTTGCACCATAACATAGCAGTCGGTCAGCAACTCGATCGCCTTGAGAGTGGCGCCGTTGGGACCAAGCAGGCGTTGTCGTCGCTTGACAAAGCGCTCCTTGTTTCGCACAATGTTGCCAATCTTGATAATGTCGCAAACAACATCATCTTCCAGAATCTTGAGGGCTTGGGCGAGCGGAACGCTGCGTGCCAGCAGCTTGATCAGGTCGCGCGCTTTCAAAATGATGAACGGGTCGAACGTCTTTTTGGTGGTGCGAACCGTCATGCTACCTTCGATGAGATCAAGCTCGCAAGCAATACCCTGCGTGTCGTGAGATGAGATAGAAGCACCAGTGAGCAGGTCGCAGCAGCTTGACGCGTTTTTTGCAGGCGATTCCAACCCCCCCCCGGCCCTCCCGAAAAGGACAACAACCCCAAAACATACCACATCATCGAGCGCCTTGGTCACGTGAGGCCAGACCTCCTTGAGGTACTTTTCGCGGTACTTTGGGAAGAGTGTGGCGAACGAGGACTCTTCGAGCAGCGAGCCGCCCTTGTTGTCTTCGTTTGTGAAGGTCTCGATCTTCCAGTGATCGATTGTGTCGTTGTCCCAAGCTGTTGCAAGCAGTACAATGTGATGGTAGTGAGTATGGGTGCCTGCCAAGACGATGGTACAACGTGAGAGGTGGCTTACGCTTGTCCTTGCGATAGTTGCGCTTGACTTTGGTCTCGCCAGTCGACGCCGCAGCAGCTGATTCTGTTTGAGCATCCGCCCCGCACAACAAGCAAAACAAGTGAGTTTTCAATCGCTTCCTGTGATGGGGAGGCGATGGGGAGGCCGTTGTTCGAGAGGTTGGAGCCCGCTCCTCTGGGTTTGGCGGCGACACACATGGCGTCCAGACGAAAAGCTCGCGTCCCTTCCGCTCCCCGCTCCCCCTTTTCGTCTCCTGCTGCAGCGCCATCGCGGTCGCTTGGTGACTGTGGCTCTGACGCGTGCTCTGCAGTGCGTTGGTGAGGGATGGAGAGTGGTTGTTGGAGCGTGTCCAAGCGAAAACGAGGGGCAAAGTTCAATCTGCAAGCTCACTCACCGCCAGCGTCCATTTGTGATTCTGGTTGGGGACTTTTGTTTGAAGGAAATGAACAACAAACAAAAAATAAGACTAACACGATATAGAATTCGTGTTGAATGAGCAAGCTGCTGTGTGACAATAGGATGTGGCTGACCTTGTTTGAAAATCCAAGCTCAAAAGCGAGAGGATTTGGCTTTTCTGTGCCCCCTTCCCTTGGCTTGCTTGTCCTGTTTTGTGTCTCGAGTGTAGTGTACTTTGATGATGATGATGATGATGATGATTCATGCTGGATGTTTGTCATTGCTGTCAGCCGTCGCCCAGATTTGAGTTATTGTCCACTCTTCCATTTTGTACTACCGTTCAATTCTTTTCAACCCTTCGTCATGGACGTCAACGCTTACACCGTGGGTGCAGCCACTCTTGCGGCATTCGGCGTGTACATTGCCACGCGCCCTGGCCCGAAGCCCGTCCACCAGCCCATTGATGTCCACTGGTGAGTTTGTTTGTAGAGAAGGGGGGAAAATTACAACAAAAGAACAGAACAAAACAAAAAAACAAAAAAAATGTTGCTGGTCCAATGCTGCTGGTCCAGAGATGGAGGGGGAAGCGGGGTTTTGCAGTGCAGGGATCATCATTGCGCTCAATAGCGCTGTCTCACTTCGTACTGCGGGTGAGAAGAGTGAGTGTTCGAAAAACAAAACGCTGATCTAGCAAAAAAAAGCAAAAAAATAAATAATAATAATAATAATTACAAAAAATCAACAAGTTTGGAACGCACGCCCCTTTCGCTGGGATTGCGATTTCAGGGGGCGGGGGAGGGGGGAAGGGTGTCTGCCATTGTGTGCAGTGCGTGCAGTGGTGTGGCGTATGCGTGTCGTGTGGTGTCGATGCGCACTTGTTGTCGTCTCTCTTTTTTGTGATTATTTCTTTCTTTTTTGTGATTTTCTTCTTTTTTTTCTTTTTTTTTTCATAATTTTTGGTTACCCGGCTTGCTTTTTGGATTTGCATGAGTCTGGGCTCCCTATTCGTTTCTTTTCTTTTTCTTCTTGGAATCCTGCTTCCGATCTTCTTCCTTCATGCGATCTTGAGATTGCGCAGCCCCAATACAAGACACGCAGCAAGACACAAACGAAACCACCTTCAACCTTGCAAAAGAAACTCACATTTCGCATCGCTCTGCCTTTTTATTTTCTTTTTTCTTTTTTTTCTCTCTCTCTTCTTCTCGCTTCTGCCAGCCAAACTGTGGAGGTCGATGCCAAGGAACACATCCGCCGCAACGCATCGTCGCCTGGCAAGCTCCTGTCGTACCACGACTACCACATCAAGACCCTCTACGAGGGCTTCCACCACGGCATCAAGCAAGCAGGTTTGTCGATCCATGGTTGCTGAGTTGTCTCTGTGGGTTTTCGTGTCCCACCTGCTCAATGCGCTCATTGTTCCGTGTCACCACCACCCCTCTCCGCCACTAAACTTGTAGGCGACTCGAACTGCCTTGGAACCCGCACTGGCAACGGTCCGTTCGTCTGGGAGTCGTACAACCAGGTTTGTCATGGTTCTTCCTCTTTTTTTTTGCTCCTTTTCTTTTGTAATTCTGTCCATGACATTTCCCACATTTGTCGCTCATAGTTTGAAATTCTGTACCTTGCATGCAGGTCGGCCAGCGCTTGACCAACTTTGGCTCGGGTCTCGTCCACCATGGAGCAAAGGCGCAGTCGTACATTGGCATCTACAGCCAAAACCGCGCCGAGTGGGTTATTGCCGAGCAAGTGAGTGCTCCACTCGTATTGATGTTCCTCCTTGTGTGGACGACTACTCTAACGGTGTCGTGAGTGTGATTTTTTTTTGTTTGTTTTTTTCCCCCTTGGATAGGCTTGCAATGCGTACTCGCTCATCACCGTCCCGCTCTACGACACTCTTGGTGCCGAGACCGCCGAGTTTATTGTCGATCAGGCCCAGATTCGCACCATCATCTGCGATCCGCCCAAGCTCGCTCTCCTGCTGGATTCTGCGCCTCGGTAACTTTCATGATTTTTTTTTGTTCGAAAGCTGCGAAAACAGTTCCAACAACGTTCCTATCTTCATCTAACCACTTGCGCTCGATGGTGATGGCTTGCTGCTTTCTCCAGCATGAAGACTCTCAAGGAGATTGTCAAGATGGGCAGCGTTTCCGACAAGGAACGTGCTGATTTCAAGGCCGTTGGCGTTGCCCTCCTCTCCTTTGCCGAGATCGAGGCTGAAGGCGCAGCCAAGCCTGTTCCTCACCGCCCTCCGGTAAGATTTCACATGCCAGATTTGATGCAATTGCAAGAAAACAAGAGCACCAACCATTTTGTTTCCCGTTCCACTTTTTCCCGCATTTTTTTTGTGGGGTTTTTTTTTCTTGCAGAGCCCCGAGGATGTCGCCACCATCTGCTACACCTCTGGCACGACTGGCAACCCCAAGGGCGCCATGCTTACGCACGGCAACTTTGTGACCGACTTCCGATGCTTGGACCGCTTCCTGGCGCTGAACAAGGACGATGTCTACCTCAGCTATCTCCCGCTGGCGCACATGTTTGAGCGCATTGTGCAGTCTGGTCTGTGGCCGGCTGGTGCGCAGATTGGCTTCTTCCGCGGAGACGTCAAGCTGCTGGTCGAGGACATTGCCGCCCTCCGCCCGACCATTTTCTGCTCGGTGCCCCGCCTGCTCAACCGCATCTACGACAAGGTTGTCGGCACGGTCACCCAGGCTGGTGGTGTGAAAAAGTTCCTGTTCGACCAGGCTCTGGCCTCCAAGTCGGCTGAACTCGCCCAGGGCATTTGCCGCCGCGACAGCATCTGGGACAAGCTGGTCTTCAAGAAGGTCCAGGCCACGCTTGGTGGCCGCGTCCGCGTCGTTGCGACCGGCGCTGCGCCCATCGGCGGCAACGTGCTGACCTTCCTGCGCGCTGCGCTTGGCTGCCCGGTGTTTGAAGGCTACGGCCAGACTGAGTCGTCTGCCGCCTCGACCACCACGGTGCCTGGCGACTTTTCCGTCGGCCACGTCGGTGCTCCTCTGCCCTGCAACGAAATCAAGCTTGCAGATGTGCCCGACATGAACTACTTTTCCAAGGACAACCGCGGTGAGATTTGCTTCCGTGGCGCCAACGTCTTCCGTGGCTACCTCAACGACAAGGCCAAGACGGACGAGGCGCTCGACAGCGAAGGCTGGCTGCACTCTGGCGACATTGGCGAGTGGGACGCCGAGCGGCCAGGCTGCGCATCATTGATCGCAAGAAGCATATCTTTCAAGCTGGGCCCAGGGCGAGTACATTGCTCCCGAGAAGATTGAAAACATTTACACGCGCTCGACGCTGATTGCTCAGGCATTCGTGTACGGCAGCTCGCTTGAACCGTCGCTCGTTGCCGTCATTGTGCCCGATCCGGACGTGCTGCCGAGCTGGGCTGCCTCGAAGGGCCTCAAGGGCAACTACTCTGCTCTGTGCGCCCACCCCGAGGTCAAGAAGGCCATCTTTGACGACATTGTCCGCATTGCCAAGGAAGCGAAGCTCAACGCGCTCGAGCTTGTCAAGGCCATTCACCTTCACGACGAGCTGTTCAGCGTCGAGAACAACCTTCTGACTCCCACCTTCAAGAGCAAGCGTCCCGAGCTGTCCAAGGCGTTCAAGACCCAGTTGGATGCCATGTACGCATCGCTTCCCAAGCAGTCCTAGGCTGGATTTTGAAGGGGAGTTTTTTTTTTTCCTCGTTGCGTTTTGCTTGTTTTGAATTAGTCTTGCTTTGTGGTTTTTTTTCCCTCGCTCTGTCACTCATGAATACATCATTTTGCATGCAATTTCGCCGTTACATTGTGTTGTTGGGGCTTTTAATGATCACAAATCCTGTTTCCAACAACGACCAGTCTCGAGCCTTATGCTTTGGCTGCAGCCTCAGCCTTCTGCGCCTCTAGCTGGTCGTAAAAGTGTGGCTTGGTGGTGTGTGGTCGGGCAGTCAGCACCTCGACGCCGGTTTCCGTAACGAGAAGCGTGTGCTCGAATTGGGCCGAGCGCTTGCCGTCGACTGTGCTCGAAGTCCACTCGTCGCCCCAGGTAACATCTTGCCAGGAACCTGCAAATACAGAATGAGTCACATGCATGGAGATGAGTCTTTTTTCTGCGTTTGAGAGGCCTCGCCACCAAAAAAAATCGCTGCAAACCCAAAAAAAAAACAAAAAAAAATCAAACACAAACCAAAACCAGCACTCACCAGCATTAATCATGGGTTCGATCGTAAACACATGCCCAGCCTTCATCACGCCGGGCGCCTTGTTTTTAGCGTAGTGCGGAATCACTGGAGCGTTGGTGTGGAAGAGCTCGTTGATGCCGTGGCCGACATACGTGCGGACAACGGAATGGTTGGCAGCGTGGGCCGTCTTGGAAATGACATTGCCCAAATCTCGGAAAGCAACACCAGGTTTGACTGTTCAGAAGATGCCAATGATCAGGAACCAGTCGCGCAAGGCGCAGAACCACATCAAACCGCTCGCTCCAAACATACCCATTGCAATGGCATTCTCCAGACACTCCCAAGAGTTGCGCACAAGAGTCTCGGAAGCAGCGTCCACCTTGCCAACGAAAACAGTTTCGTTGAGGTCTCCGTGGAAGCCGTCATAGTACACCGAGACGTCAATGTTAATAATGTCGCCTTCCTGCAGCGGGCGGAGATCGGGGATGCCGTGGCAGATGATCTCGTTGACAGATCTGTGGAGAGGGAGAAGGAAGAAATAAGTCAAGCTTGTCTGATCCTGCGCCCCTCCCCCCTTTTGTGGAGATTTGCCTTACGTGCAGCACGACTTGGGGAAGTTGCGGTAGTTCAGAGGCGACGGATAGGCGTTGCGAGCAACGGTGGCCTCGTGAACAATGCGGTCAATCTCGTCGGTTGTGACGCCTGGACGAACAGCAGCCACCGCGATATCAAGCACCTCGCGCGTCAGCTGGTCGAAGCGATTCGAGAACAAGCAGAAAAAGTCAGCAATCTAGGAGAGGAGACTGAAGTGCACACGATCAACGCGAGACGACGCACTCGGCAGGCAACACGCATCTTGGCAATACGCTCAGGGCTCAACGGAGTAGCGATGGAGGACTGGGGCTCGCGACGCTCGCTTTCAGGGATGCCTAGATTGAGACCGGGACGAATCGTGTCACAATCAGTTTTTGGTTTGTTTTTTTGTTCCTGGATCTCTCCGTCAAACACGCAGGAATGGTACATGCATGGTTACCTGACACTGAGTAATCCGGCGGCGGAATGTGCGAAGGGACGGTGCGCATCGGCGTCTGTGGGTACGGGCGAAGGGGTCCACGGAACTCAAACCCAGGCCAAGGGTTGTTGAGCGGCGCCGCTGTGGTGACATGATTTTCAACGTAACGTTCATACTCGTGAGTGAGGACATTAGCAGAGAGAGAGTGTGTGTGTGTGTGATCATGCCAAGGGAGGGGTCTCGTTGGTCATTGCCAAAGAGCAAAAAGACCGCGTGTAGAGCAGAGAGCCAGTTGCCCGTCTCGACTCAGAACCCAAACCCCCAAACCCCCAACCACTCCCCAGCAATGTAAAGCTATAGAGCTCCACGCGCAGGAGCGGCTTTGCGAATGGGGTGGATTTGCCGCCGTCGTCGTAGGAGGAGCGCACTCACCGGGATGGACCAGCTTGTGCGCAGCCCAGTTGCGCTTGAAGCAGTCCTGGTCGCAGAAGAAGGTCTTGTCGCCTGCAATGCTGTTCTTGAGGCACGTCGGGCACTGCATCTTGGCGGGCTTGCCGCACCCGGCGCCAGAGCACACGCGCGTCGCAGTCGCGGTCGGAGCAGTCGTTGCATCAGCCATCGTTAAACGTTGTTATTGAAAGGAGGAGTGTGCAACCTTAAACCCCCAATGATGTACTGACTAGATAAAAACTAACAAAAGTCAAACAGAGATGAATGGAGTCGGCTTGAGGGATGACGGGATGGAGGGATGGAGGGAGGGGGTCATTGATCGTTGAGATTTGTTCGTTCTAACAGACTGAGATGGAGCAGCGATCGTGCCATTTCGTGATACCTCTTTTTTGGTTGTCATGGATTGAGGAAGGATGAAGATGGATGAGGTTGATGATCGACCAGTCTTTTCTACTTGTGAATGTCCCTTCCCGAAGCCGCGCTCAAGTCGGGTGTGCTGCAGCTCGTCGTGCTCGTCCACGGCCTCGACTCACCCCGTAAGCACCCACTACCACCACCACCAACATGACTTCATGCTGATTTCGACCTTGCTCTGTCTTTTGGATGTTGTTGTTGTTGCCACCCCGTTGGAGCTCATCCTGTCTCTGCCTCTTCTTTTTTTATCCTGCTTGGCGGCTCTCAGTTGGCGGCCATCGCGACATGAGGCTGCTCGAGTCGCGCGTGCTGGTCCACCCGGGGTTCCGTGACTTCAAGGTGAGTGTTGGTCTGCTCGCGGTCGTCCCACTTGTGTCTTAGGGGAAGTGATGACCACTGGCTTCAAAGAACACGTTCTCGATCATCAGCGTCGTGTCATCACGCGTTCGTCCCTCAGCGCCGTGTTTGTGTTGATTCGTCCCATTTGGTCGCTCATCATTGTCCTTTGTTTGTGGCCGGTGGTGGCGGTGGTGGGGTTGTTCTGGGGGTTGTCTCTGCTCAGGTCTTTGTTTCAACCGTCAATAGCGGGAAAACCACCGACAGCATCCACGTCGCTGGGATTCGCTTGGCAGACGAGCTCGAGCGGTTTGTGCATGCATTGCCGGAAGTCATCAAGACTGTTCGCCCTCCCTCGGCGGACTGCTCTCTCGGTATGAGAACAGAACAGGCACCAACCCGAACCGCGATCAAGCTATCTAATGCCGCATCGCTCAAAACTCAACTGCATGCATTGTTGCGCAGATACGCTATTGGATGGCTGTACGAGCGCAACTACTTTCAAAGCGGACGCATGGTGCCTGTCGCGTACATGTCCATGGCCTCGCCGCACATTGGCATTAGCTACGATCGCGACAATTGCGAGACTCGTACGTTGCCACTTCTGTATTGGGAGCAAGTCATATAACATGTACTAGCTTGACTTGACGTTGCTTGTTGTGTCCTTTTGTCTTTTGCGTTCGAAACGGAACAGGCGAAGAAGACAATCGCCGCATCTTCACCAATGTCGCCCGCTGGGTTTTCTATGAGAGCAAACAACGTGTTGCCAAGTTGTTTTGGCGCGGGCAGTGCGTCACCGAGCTGTACTTGCAAGACGAAGGCGCTGCAGGCTCAGGCTCCTTCAAGCCCTTGTTGTATGAGGTCAGACTCTTGGCAGAGCTTGTGCTGCCAATCATTTCCGCAATGATGCTGCCTCTGCGATAGTGCGATCGCTCACTCACTTCTTCTCTTCGTCGCCATGTAGCTTGCAGTGCCAACCAGCCGCTATATGCTCGCCCTCGGCCTCTTCAAGAGCCGAACGCTTGTGTCCAACACGCATTTCGACTTTCAAGTTGACTACCTGAGCTCCGCAATCGCCTGTGACTATCCTTTCGACACTCCTGGCGACGTTGTTGGCATGGATCTCGGCGAGACGTGTCAGCGACCCTCTGAGTAAGCAAGGGTGCTATTGTTGTTTGCTCTTTTTTTTTTTGCATGGTTTGGGTTTTGGGATCGGTATGGAGTTGCTAATGACAATTGATGTGATGCACTTCTTCCCTTTATCAGCTCGTACGAGGGACTGAAGCATCCTTCGATCGGGCTGGTCGCCAAAACGGTTGGTCTGGTCAAGCAGGTTGCCGACATTGCGCGATTTCCCTTCGACTGGTTTAATTATTCCGCCGACGAAGATCACGACATTTTTTCTGTCACATACACTGGTTTTTCTAGCGTCCCCAAATCGCTCTGCAACATTAGCGCTCGTGCGTACTCTGAGCCGCAGGAAAAGAAAATCACCACTCCTGCGATAAGTCGGTCGATCGGGCGTCTCAGAGCTGGTAAAGTCATCATTGTGGCTTTGTAGTGTTTGGGGAACGTTGTTCTACTGCGTCCTGTTGCGACCTGACTTTTCCTTGTCCTGCTTTTGAATGCTCTTCTTGTTTTCCTTTTCTTGTTTTCCTTGGGTCTTGCAGAAATCACTCGAAACCTCCAAACACTGTCTTGGCGCCGAATCGACACAAGATTCAACTCGCTGTGGTGCCACGACTACTTTCTGGGCAAAAGCACGGTGCACTTTAGCGTTGTCAGCGATCCCAAGCCGGCAAGGCCGGTTCTGGACATGTTTTTGAATGTTTTGGCAGAAGATGCGAATCAGGCGTGATTGGACACAACTCTGTCTTTCTTTGTTAATAACTCAAGCGTCGTTCAAATGTCTCAAACGAAATACAAAAAAATCGCGGTTTTGGGAATGGCTTGCATTTTCAACATTTCCGACTAAATGCAAAAAATGGCGGGGAAACAGAAAACAATCAAGACATTTCTACAGACTGCGCGACGAGGGGGCAGATGGCAAGGGAGGAAGTTGTGCGCTCACAGCTGCTACCACATCGGAAGGTGTCGATAGCATTCGAGTGCCGTTGGTGCGAGTGACAGAATGGTGCTGTCCTCGAGTGGATAATAGTGTGTTGGCGCAGTGGATCATTGCAGTCACCTCGCGAGGAAGGGCTTTCCCGACGGCCTGCCATCGAATGAGTCCCTGCTCATCCACGAGGTAGATGAAATTGCCAGTGTAGAAGCGAATGCCGAGCTCTGCTGCCAATTCTTCGTCAACCGCTGGCAAATTGAACACTGAGCCCTGTGCCAGTCAAGAAATGCCAGGTTCAGATCAAAAACAACAGAAAATGAGCAACAAAAAAAACCTGTCGAGTCCTTTTGATCTGCAAACAAAAAGCCATGCTCAACATCGTACATGACGCTGCTGTGGAATGGCTGCCAACAAATTTCGGTTGAACATGGGTTGCAACACTCGCATCATCGGCATGCGGTTCATCAAGATCTGTGACACAACGGTGAATGTCAGTGGTGCGGATTTTTGATAGTTCAAAAAAAAACTGCCGTACTTCAAAATCGTTCACGTATGGATTGGATCCGTATTGGCTTCGAAATTCGTGCGTAAATGACGCGTTGCGGAGCTGAGGAAAGAAGCAGAAAAAAACACACACGTGAGCAAAGCAAACAGCCAAAAAAAAAAAAAGCAAGATGGCAAAAAAAAAAATGCAAGCGTCCCGCTTTGCTTTACCGCGCCGAATTGATCAAATGCCACAGACACAATCGAAATACCCCGCGTGAAGGCTTCCGATAAATCAACCGTTTGGCCGTTGATCGCTGTCAACACGCGAGATGGGAATTTGACCGCGTACTGCGAGAAAAGCGATTCCCAATAAAGAATATGATGAGCGATCTCGCGCACCCACGTATAAACCGGGTGCAGGCCAGCATATGCTCGTTACCTTGCTGTGGCTCAGTGTGGTGCTTGCTTCGAATGGCTTGAGCATAGAAGCTGCACCAAAATGCAATCCGTACAACCGTGAGCCATGAACAACATCCCCTCAACTTCACGTCTTTCCCCTCCTCTCCTGGACAGACAGTATGCGAGCTGAAGATGGCACAACATGCACATACCACTTGGAGGCAACCTACAATGCGAACAATCAACGAAAAAAAATGAGTTGGCGCTTCTCACAAGAACAAGAAAAAAGATTGGCGGATGTGCCATCTCGCTGTCATCAAGCTTACGCTGGTGTCTTGCGAGTGAGATCAAGCAACCCAATCTGGAACCGCTTGAAGAAATTTGGCTTCTTGGTGGTCGGAGCATCGGCTTGAGTCGAGGCGTCCTTTGGGTTTTTGGTCGCCTGTTCATCTGCGTTTGTGGCAGCATCCACGGTTGCAAGCGCATTGCCATTGGTAGCAGCAGCAGTAGCAGTAGTAGTAGTAGTGACTTTGTTGTTTGCTTCAGCACTCGATGGCGGCGCTTGAGCTGGTGCTGGTGAGCTACTCGAGCTGTACGATTGCGCGCGCAATTCTGTCACATCAAGCAGGACGATTTTCGGTTAGAAGCAGCAGCAGATCGACTCTCATCGCTTTCCCCCAGTTCTCTTGATCGCGGTGGGTGCATCGCTGATTTTCGTCTCCCATTGCTTTTTGTCATGCCTCAACGACCGAGGGAGGGAAGGGTGTTCGGTTGACGGATCATGCTTTTTCCGTATGACTCTATTTTGCATGTGTATCATCATCCAGCACCAGCCTGCCCACTGCTTCCTCAGACACAAGACACGACACAGCACCATGCTACTGCATTGCATCTCATTCTCCATGCGTGTTGGTGATGGCAGAAGCTGTGATAAACCAGCAAAACTTCCTCCTAACTCACGTGGAGACGGGAGACGGGCAGCCAGAGCGGCGGACGGGCTTAACGACAGACGCGGATGGCTACAGGGGGTGCTAGTGAAGGCGCGCGCTACGGCAGCCGGACCGACCCGGGCGCTGGAGCGGGGCGTGATGGAGCTGCTGCGGACTGAGCGTGGGGACGCTGAAACTGCCGTTGCTGCGACTCGGCTTGAGCGAAGAAGCAACTCGGCCGCCGTGGACTGCATGGTGTGTATACGAGAGACAAAAAGTGTGTATGTGTGGGGAGGGGAAGGGGGTGCGATTGACGACGGGTTGCTTGGATGCAAGTTGGCGATGGTGTTGGGGAAGATGACGCGAAAAAAAAAAAAAAAAAAAAAAAAAAAGACTAGAAAAAAAAAAAAAGGAATCGTTCAACAAAGTCATCGATCGTTTAACTTTGGCAAAACAGAGATCAAACCAAAGGGGAGCGGGGGAAGAAACACGGTACACTTGTAACAGGAGCAAAACAAAAAAAGGGGGCACATTGCTACCGCTACAAGACTGAATAGCGACCAGGGGCATTCGTCGAACCGCCGAGGTTGCGATTCTGAAGCGCGTTGTCGGCCTCGCGCGCAAGCTCCTCGCGGATGATGCGCTTGATCTCGGTTTTGGCTTTTTGCACCGCAAAATCATTGTCTGCCTCAATGACAATGTAGAGCTTCTTCTCGTTGGGCCCGGGCACTTTGCCAGGCCCAATGAACACGCCTCGGGGTGTCAGAGCGGCACCCGACAGTTCCGAAATTGCTGAAACGGCCTCCTGTTGTCGACAAAATAGGGGAGAGAGAGAGATGACATGGAAACGAACAAAAGCAGTGAGATGTCGGAACAGCCCACCAGCAAACATCCCAAGACAGAGGTATGCAATTTACCTTCTGAGTGACGCGCCAACGTGCGCGTTGAGGGAAATCGTTGATCTCGAGATGCTCGATGAACTGCAGAACGGGAGCGACGGCCATGAGAGCGGGAGGAGGGGGAGCCGCGGACGCAGCAGCGGCAGCCATAGCAGCAGCGGGATTTGCAGCCTGAACAGCAATAGCTCAAGTGAGTGAGATGGACCAAGCAACAAACAGTCCTCGAGTCAACGAAACTTTGGGCAAGAGCAGGGTACTTACATCTCCAGTGGCGGAACCTGCAGCAGTGGGCAGACGGCGACCGATAGATGCGGCAATTTGACGAGCACGTTCCGCTGAAAAGGGTATCCGAGCAAGCATTTTTGCTGTGAGTGCCGCGAGCAAAGCAAAATGCACCCCAAACAAAAACTAAAAAACCCAAAATCAACCACACTGTCGTACCTGCGGCAGAAACACTGACGGGTACAGCTGCAGACTCTCCGCCACCGCTGGCCGCGGCAATGCGGTTGGAAACAGAGGAGACAATCGCAGCAAGTGCCTCCTTGTTGACTTGACCTGTGGCAGCTGGAGCGCTCGTGGCGGTCGCGGGTGCCGCACTAGGAGCAGGCGCGCCGCTCGAAATGCGGCTGGCGTTGAGCTTGCGCTCAATCTCTTCATCGAGCGCGTCGGGCCCGTCGTCGTCGTCGCCACCAGCCGATGCGGATGCGGCAAGCGCAGAGTTTGTAGATGGTGTGGATGCACTCGGCCCAGAGTCCTCGTCGTCTGATTCGCCGAGGCCCATTGCAGCCTTTTGCATGTTCTTGAGCGCGTTCGCCTTGTTGTTTTCTTCGTCCGTAAAACCAAAGCCCTTGCCCTTGCGAACGCTGAATTTTCCGCCTTTCGCCTTGCCAGACTGTGCGACACAACAACAACCCAAAGTTCCATGGTAAGTCGCTCGGTGTACATCAAACAATCCACCCCTAAAACAACCCGCTCACCGGCATTCGAAAACCACAACAACACCAACAACACCAACAACAAACACGGCTCACCTTCACATCGGCTTCGTACTGCTCTTTGAGCTGCTTGAGTTCTTCCGGCACATTGGCTCCGCTCAGCTGGAGCGCGTTGAGAATATCCCCAGCAAAGCGGCCTTGCTCGGGCGTGAGGAAGGTGTAAGAGGTACCCTTCCGTCCGGCACGGCCCGTTCGGCCAACGCGGTGAACATAATCTTCGTAGTGGTTTGGGGCGTCATAGTTGACGACAAGTTTGAGCTCTTTGACATCCAAGCCACGCGCTGCGACAGACGTCGCAATGAGCAACCGCACATCACCGGCCTTGAATGCAATCAGGGTCTCCTCACGGTCGCCTTGGTCCAAACCGGCATGCAGCGACAAACACGGGTAGCCCGACGCGTACAACGACTTGAGCAGCATATCCGCGGCTTCCTGGCGCTCCACAAACACAATCACGCTCCCTTCTTCTTGCCACACGCCGAGAAGCTCGAGCAAGCGCAGATACTTTTCGGCTTCAGGAATCACCAGGACGTGCTGATCAATTTCCTTCGAGACAATGCTTCGGCCACCGACAATGATCTGCAAGGGGGAGTGGTGCAGAATCTTGTACGCCAGCGTTTCCATCGATCGCGGGAAGGTGGCCGAGAAGAGCACGGTTTGACGCGCGGGCCGGATGTTGTTGACAATGCGCATCACTTGCGGCTCAAAGCCCATGTCAAACATGCGATCCGCTTCGTCGAGCACGAGGTACGTCACCCGTCGCAAGTTGGTCACGCGTCCCGAATTGGCGGTCAGCATGTCAATCATGCGGCCAGGCGTGCAGACGATAATCTCGGCGCCTCGCTTCAAGTCTGCAATCTGCTCGGTGATGGCCGAGCCACCATAGAGGCAGACGGTTCGCAGCTGGTTTGGCGCGGCAAAACGCTTGCACTCGGTGTAGGTCTGGACGGCGAGCTCGCGTGTCGGCGTCAGAATCAAGCCGATCGGCCCGTCGTCCGCCGACAGCGGAGGCTGTGCGAGAATATGCCGAATCATGGGCAAGACGAATGCAAGCGTCTTGCCGCTGCCTGTTTTCGCGATCGCAATCAGATCGCGACCGCTCATCACGGCGGGAACCGCCTGTGCTTGGATGGGCGTCGGCTTTTCAAACTTGCATTTGTCGGTTAAGATTTTGAGGGTGAGTGCGTTCACGCCGCACTGGGACCAGTTCTTGATCGGCCTTGGTGGCTGGTCACCCTTGACCTTGATATTTTCCAGCTCGCGTCGATACTGCTTGACCTCGAGCTCGGTCATGCGGGCGAGCTCGGGCACCTCCTTGTAAAAGTTCTTTGAAAACTCGGGATAGACAATCTTGGAGTGGTCAACGGCACCGAGCTCCTTCTTTTTGGCGGTAACGTTCCTTGCCTTCTCTTGCAAATCTTCGTTGTCGCCGTGGCCGAAAATCAGCGCAGCATCGTCCGCCTCGAGCTGATCGGCGCTTTGCAGCTCCGAGTCCAGCGTCATTGCAGTAGCAGCGGCCGTCGCTGGCTGGCCCGATTCCTGGTGTCAACGCAGAAAAGGCGTGATGGAGATGAGCAACGAAACAAACCAATTTTTAAAAAATCAACAAATGGAATACAAACAGGCTCGTGCACCACCTTTACCTTGCGAATGTTGAGTTCTCGAACGGTAGCCTGGACGTTCATCATGTAGGCGTCGAGATCATCGTCTCCCTGTTGCTTGTTGACGGCACCGTTGCTGAAAGCCTTCGCCACATCCATCGGCTGAGCGACTGCTCCCGATCCTGTTGGATTGGCATTCGATTGCTCTGCTAGTGAGTTTCCTTGCTTTTGCGCGTTGGTGGTCGCGGCAGGAAGGCTGTTGCTCTCGTCGTCGTCGGCGTTCAGGTCGAGCTTGGCGAGTTTCGACTTTCGCGCTCGGTGTGCGGCGCCCAGAGTCAGAGTCGACAGCGCAGCACTGCCACTGCCATCGTCGTCATCATCATCGTCATTGTCGTTCCCAAACACGGATGCTCGGATCGTGGCTGGCTTGGCGCCACTGAGACCAAACACTGAGGGCGCTTGTGCGCCTGGCCTGGCCAATCCGCCGATCGAGATGGTCATAGCAGGAGCCGCAGGTGCTGGCTGTACCTTGCCCAATGACACTGCGGGTCCGATGCTGGCCGCGACTGCTGGTGCAGCAGCCGTAGTAGCAGTAACAGGAGCAGCAGCAGCGGCGGCAGCGGCAGCGGCTTCCTTCTCGCGTCGCCACGCTTCCAATCTGCAAATACATCAAGCACAATAACCACAGCTCTGTCAAAGTGAGCATCAAGATGCACAGTCCCCGGGTGTTCCGCTCAACTCTGATCGTCGTCGTCGTCGCTCCAACGCCCCCCCCCCTTCCAAGTCCCCCTCCACTCACTTTTCACGGCGCTTCTGCTTGGCGAGTTCCTCGCTGGAGAGCTCGCCGGAAGCATTTCCTGCGTCCTCGTCGAGCCGCAGTCGCTTGGTGCTGGGATCGGCGCTAGACCCGGCGGCGTCCTGCTCGTGCAGTCGCTTGCTGCCAGAGTCGCTGCCGTTCATTGTCGTCTTCGGCTGTGATCAATACAAGGACTGGATTTCAACTAGGGAAGTCATATTGAGTTGTTGGAAACATTTAAAAGACCACGAGTCTGAGAAGGATGAAATCACAACAAACTAACTGCATTTGACAAAGACTTCCGTCCGAAATCCAATCATGCTGATGGTGCAGCTGCAGCGGCACGCCATTGACGAAGTGCTTTGACAACGGCAACTAGGATTGGCAGTCCCGCTGGGGCGAAAAGAGGCACGTAAATGGCATACTTGTTGTCCTCGGGGAAATACAGCAGCGACAACGCGTTGCTGTCAAAGAAGACAGCCTCTGCAATGTGCGCTGTGCGCTTCGAGAGACTGTATGCCTCGTGCAGCGCGTTACGTTGCATGGCAGAGTTTGCCTGTCCACAAGCAAGCCGTGTACTTGAGTTTATGTGCTTCATGCCCCAACAACATTCGCATTAGCCAAACACACAAGCACTATCAATGGCTTTACCTGTCCCATCGCAGCCCGTGCGACGTCGACTTTGCGTTGCAGCTCGTCACTAACAACCATGTTGGGAATTGTGTCCAGCAACTGACAGAAGGACTTAAGCGAATGGCGGGCGGACGCCAAGTGCTCGAGCCACCGACTGCGAAGTAGCGAATCGTGCTCAAAGTCCGTCAGTCCCGCCAGCTGCCGAGGCAACAAGACGTGGACTGTGTCCAGCTCAGTCATTCGGCTCTGTACATCGCAAAAGGGCAAGTCAGACAATCCGTCAAAAAAAAAACCAAACAACCACGCCACACTGCGGCCCGTCTCCGCCTTACTCGCTGTGTCCGAAGTCCCATGAGCAGGCGCAGCTGTGCCAGTAATACAGAGCAAATTTCGGACAATTCCACTGCTTGGTCTGCGGTCGGATTGACCACAAGAACCCCTCCCCATCGCGGGATTAGAAATCCGTTTTGTGCGGCCGGATGTCCTGGGAAGTCAAAGGTTGGTTTAGGTTGGTGAAAAGTCAGCACAGAAAGTTCAAGCCAAGCGACTCTGAGGCGCGCTTTTACCAGTCGCATCCAACAGAAGCAAGGGTCGCAGTTCTGGCGGGGGCTCAAACACGAGCAGGTTAACGACTGGATTGTTGTGAGTCGAAAACCCTGTCAGTCAGAGGGCAACAACCAGCCAAATGAATTGCAAAAAAAAAGAGTGAGGGTCTTGCAGCTTCGGAGTTGTAAAAGCAAGCTGAGCGGACTCTATTACCCAAGCCCCAGTCTTGCGAATTGACAAAATGCTGAAGTTGATCGGGTCGCAGTACAAACGCATTCAGTTTCTTGTCAAATGTAGGCGTGACGAGAGGCTGAGCTTCGTAAATGATCTGAATGCCAAAAAGGCAAACACAATGGCAAAAAATTAGGGAGAAGGTAAAGCGCCATCGTTTCAACGACGCGTCTCCGGACAGCACTCACCTGAGACGAGACGGTCGGCGCGTCGTCAACGGAAACTGCAGCTAGGAATGGTCGAAGTGCTGCATAGATGGCACGAGGGTCCCAATAAGATGAACTTGCAGAGCTGGACGATCCCGCGCCGAGGGCAAGGGTAAACAACACTTCAAACGATGAAGCTGTGGAAAAGGTTCGTCTTGCTCGCTGACAATGCCAAAGTGTCCACAACGAGATCGATGCACACGAATCAGTGAGATGCACAAAACGGTTGATGTTGCTCGCAGTAGTGATGGCCCCCTCCCTCACCAAGGCATCTCCCGAGTTCTGCTCGGCCTGCTTCGCAAGAGTATCGTCCGGTTGGTCATAGGACAAGGAGGTTGCGCCAACATCAGCCATTTGCTCAAAGAGTACACGCGCCACAATAGTTTCGATTGGTTCTGCAACAATCGTCACAAGTCAGATTCAATTTCCAAGTATGGTGAGCGTCATTTGCAAATGCCCGCCATACGGTGCGCCCCAAACTAATGTCTGAAATGCATTGCAGCGCAACAAGCAAGGATACTGTCGAACACACCAGTGGCAGCAGCGCTTGGAAACAGATTTGCAATCAACAGCCGAGAGCTGCCAACAACAATCCGAGGCAATCTTGCGTCTGCCACCACAAACACCGTACCCGACCCTGGTGTCATGTTTGCTGCAAAAAAGTACGGCGGATCGATTTGCTCTGTCGGGTTTGCTCGCACAAAGTCAGAACACCAATTTCCCCCTTTTGCTACAACTCACTCAAACTCGTCCTGGAGTTCATACCTGCAATCTTTTGCGTGCTCAAATGGCCATCGCCGGCATTGCTGTTGGCATTCAATGCTCGAGCCATTTCCTCAATGGTGTGCGCAATCCGCTCGTTTGTCTGAGTTGTGATGACTGAAACAACCGGTCGAAATGCAACCTTGGACGACAACGTGCGCGCGTGCTCGTGTGCCTGAGAATGGAGCGCACGTTCCAGGTCTGAGACGCTGAACTCGGCTGACGGCCGCTTCTGTGCATCGAGCAGCAAAGCGGGATCGAGGACGACTTGGATTGCGAGAGGGAGTTGGTCGGACTCGCTGCCCGTCTAACAACACCCAAAGCCCCAAGCGACCATTGCCAAGGTCAGGTCAAGTGTGGTACAGTGAGTGTATCAAAGTCATTACCAACCACCAGAGCGACAAAAGCCACCCGTCAACTCACTGGCGCGACGAGCAGTTCGCACGGCAAGCTCGCTCGGTAGATGGTTGTCGTTCGCCACCACACGGGCAGTCCGACTCCGGCAATAACAACAATGTACAGACACAGCGCCCATGGCATGCGGAAGGTCGGTCGGTCGCCCGACGACGCGCTGT